CATGTATAAATAACACAGTTATAGCCAACTGTCTTGAAATATAAAGTTGTTTTATTTATTAATAACAGAGTTATCATTAATATATAGCAAGTTACAACAAAACAAGGCGGATTTTAATAATTTGACTGACAAAAGAGAAGTGATAGCAGGAGACACAAAAAGCACTAATAATTATATGCAGAGTTTTCAAACATTTTTTGCTGTCAATTGTTGTTTGTAATTGTAGCGTCTGTTTATCATCTGCTATTGTATTGTATCGGATGGTTCCGTAATGTATGTTTATTAGCGGAAATATACGGAAACGGCCAAAACAATTCAATTATGGTATCTCGTGCAATTTTATGAACTGTTTTTGTATGTCCAATTGTCTTGTATGTTGTATGAAATAGATTTGGGAGAAAGTTTTACATCGAATTTTAACATATAGATAAAAAATAAATCAATATCTTTTAACAATATATTTGCAGACGACACAAAATGTTGGAAAGTTCATACTTCTTTGATTAAATCATCTGGTACTGAATTATATTCAAAATAAAAAAGGACCAAAAAAACTGCTGTGAAATTTTGAATATATATATACAATTGAGAAAAGGACTCAACATTTTGCCAATATTTCAATAAATTAAAGGACTCCACTGAGGTTTTTTGACATGGCGGGACTGGAAATAATTTTTTGAGATTATTACTCCATTTAATGAAGATCTATACAAATATAAACTAATGTGCAAAATTTTAGAACATTAGCTCACTCCGTTTTTCCAGAATAATTATTATAATAGTGAAAATTGACCCAAAATTGAAAAGCGTTTTTAAAACGCTTTTCACTCAAATCTGACTGAGAGTAGCACAAACATACAATTTTAAATGCATTTCTTGTATATTTCCTAATAATATTTAATTTATATTTCTGTTTTAAGTGCTCATGTTGATCTGTATGAAAAAATAAAATTTTATATTTTTAGCTTTACAAACCTCAATGGAGTTCCTTTAATGAAAAGTAAAGAAAATGTATATTAAATAACATTGAAAACATTGTGAAATCATGCTAGGCAAGTAGCCTACCTAACTTTCCGTAGACAGGTTTTTATTTCATCAGTAGGCCTACTCTTATTTTTTTTATCATGCAACTGCTATGGTAACTGCCCGATAACACTTGCCTGATAATTATTTTTGATATCAGGTCAGTAACCTGATATCAAAAATAAGCCCCGCCCATTTTAACGGACTTTTTTTCAATTGCTTATATTCTTATTTTCATCAGCATGTGAATTCTTCAATGTAATCTCATACCCTTACAAGTCTTGATCAAGATGCGATATTTATTTATTAATTATTTCGATTTCAATTACGAATAAATTAGATAGCGAATATTTTTAGCACCAACTAAATGAAGTGACGTCATAATTTATATTGCAAATGACATCATCGATGTTCACGTCATACTATACATGTAATCATAACAAACAGGCTGGACAATTTTCTTTGAGAACTTGTAACTGTTTACTTAATTTCGCCTGATCATTATTTAATAAGTGAACAAATTGTTTTGTTTAAAAAATAAGACGCATATGTTTGAGTAGCTTGTGTTTGATTGCCGATTTGACTTTTCTTTGATGAACTTTTGAATTTGACAATTCAAGACAAATATTGCAGTAAAGTTTAGTTTATGTGATTCTAAGTGGATTTTTGGATCGATGTTTAAATTAAAGGTAAGAATTTTATCGTATTAGGCCTACATTCTGTTGCATCTTTTAACCGAGTCGAAAGAAAAAATGGCGGCCATTTACAAATTCTAAGTTTCAGGGGCGGAGGAATTTGTTTTCAAGAATTATTTCTTTGAACAAAACTCCCCCTTTTTAAAGAAATTCGCTATTTAAAAGTAGGTTATTTTGTTATTTTGACAGTTATTATGTAATACATGCTAAATAGAAAAACATGCTACTCGCCCATTCTCAATAAAATAAAGCATTTGAGGTTGAAAAATAATTAAAATTTGATGTTGTCATTGTGTCATTTTTTATCGCTGAAGTAAAAGTTTAGGGTATTTTGCAAGTTTGCCAGAAATATTTTGAACAAGAAACTATGATATAACAGGATGGCATTTATTTTAGTAATGACACTGTATTTCTTCGGTAACGTAGATTTCAGGTCTAATAATGTAACATATTGGCTGCATATTAACAACAAATGTCTTTTAAATATATCAAAATCTGTAAATTCTCTATCTAGAGGGACTTTCTAACCCAGGAAAATTCAAGGAAGTTGGGTACCTTGCTAATTTTCAGTTAATTTCTTCAAAGTTAAATATTCGTAGAAAGCAAAAATAGTCAATTTTGGAAATGATTATTTTATGTCTTCATTCAAAGGATATATATCATATATAATATATGAGAGGTGGAATGCATTCCCAAATGTTGTATTAGCATTTTTTTTTTCAAAACATTCAACTTTTCACTTTCTTAATATTTGGAAAATTTATTGCTAAGCACTTCTATATTTATCCCCATATAGGATGTCACGTATGTTTCATTTTATTCAAATGCAAGTAAAGGTTGCGAAAACAATTTTATTTTTTGTAAAATAATGTATATTTATGGATATTATTTTAACATTATTATATATAGAATGAAATACGGTCAGTAAGCTCTTTGCAGAAACGAATTAGTTGTTGCTGAGAACATCAATATCTTGTAAAATATTTTTAACATTTCTGCTGGTACATCAACATATTATTAACATATCTTTCCTTTGTAAAAATGATTTTGTATCTTCTTACATCTAATACAAGGTAACCGTTACTAACAGGCATGATACTCCCAACTTTATCTTTAATTTTCAAAAATGTTGAATTGTAAGTTGGAGTAACGTATGTTTCACACTCGCTTATTTATGAACTTAATCACGGAATTGAAACTTACATGTAAAATCGACTTTTTTATTTAGGAATCAAATGTACATCATTCTATTGTCATAAAAATGTGATTTTATGTTTTTATATATGCATGTGTAAACAATATAAAGTCTGTTTGATAAAAGTAACGTTTGTTTCACTGTGGTTACTTAAACAAGTTATAACTCGAACAAAGTTAACAAAATTTAATTACTAATGTCAAATTGAAGTTAATGTTGCTGTTATACATGCTTTCTGACTTCAATTTCCCTTTTGATAAACTTACTTTAAAAAGTTGATAACGTATGTTTCTGTAACGTATGTTTCATTTTACATTGAAAGTGGATTAAAATGACGCAAGACCGTTGAACCCGCCATAATTTGTGGTTAATATATCAGAGTTACACACATGTTAATTTTCTTTCTTGTTTGGATTCTTCTTTGAATGGATTGGCTCTTAAATAATGGTAACGTATGTTTCTTTTTAAAATGCTGTTGAAAAGATTTGAATAAAAAATGAAAATTTCCGAAAATATAATGATTTTTGAGAGGCTGCAAGCTTAGTTTTACTTATAATTATATATATGCTGTATAATTAAGCATGCATCGATTCAATTATGTAATTTCGGTTCCACTTATTATTGTTTTAGGTTTGTCACTATTTATTTATATGCATTTGGCGACATTTGATCATCCATTATATCAATGAGATTTTAACAGTCAAATGTAATTTTTACCAATAATCAAAGTTCATATACACACAGCAATGACTAATTGCACATGTTTTGTTTATTCTGAAACTTATTTTTCTGAGACACAATTTCAAAGTTGAAAATTCTAGGTGGCGACAGTAACGTATGTTACATTTTAGGGCATTAATGGTACTTGTAAAAGAAAAATAACAGATAGAAATGTAAAACTGAGAGTGTCCCTATTAGACAAAGTGGCAGCCATCTTTCTAACGACATTTTGACCTCAAGAAAAATCTTCGTATAAGAGCTACCCAGTGGAACATCAAATGCTGTGTCTTATTGAGAATGAGCGTACTGTCTTTTGATATCAATTTTATCAGGCTCGGCTGATATGGGCAGAAAGGGCTCGGCAAGCCTCGCCCTTTCTAGCCCATATCAGCCTCGCCTAATAAAATTGATATCAAAAGACAGTAGCATGTTATTCTCTATATAACTCATGCATCAAAAATCGTCTGTATAGGGCCATCCTTAAAAAAATGTTTGTTTGCAGTAACCCGACCCAGAATTTTCAAGGTGGGTAGGTAGGTCGATTTTTTTTTTTTTTTATTGAACTGTACTCCCAAATAAACATGGAATTTCAAAATGCTGGACAATATATGCTTTGATAATCTGGTATAAATTAATAAATTGATAACTGAATTCTAATTTAATAAGACCTGCAATTTATTTCTTCTATTAACCTTTAAAAGAACGAAAACAAAGCACAAGGCATAATTTTCTGATTCAAAAAAAAAAATTTTCTTCCAGACCATGAAAAAAAACTTTTGAGTAGGGGCAAATTTTGTGAGTCGGTCGCGTTACTGCAAACAAACATTTTTTTAAGGATGGCCTAGTTTTGAAGAAAACAAAACAAATACAACAACAGCAAAGTGTTGAGTAGCTTCAACACTGATCGCAAAGTCAATTTATCAGTTACTTGCGGTAAACAATACGTTTCATAATTATAATGGAACTTTATTTACAACGAACCATTTATATCATTTTACATTGCGATATAATAATGATGGAATAAAATAACAACAAAAAAACTTACCAATAAAACAGCAGCTTATGTCATTCATCGTGTGTTAGGTCATGTGTACACAGCGCTTCACCAATCCGTGTAATGACTTGCTGATGTCAAATTGTAGACTCGACTGTTCCATTGTAATACACGGGTACATCGGGTCTTATGCCGATGGTTTAAAATTGCAAATTTTATTCTCCTTTTTCTTAAAATATAGTTTGATAAAAAGATGATTTGCAAAAAGTGTCTTTAAATTTTAAATTTTCTCACCGGAGATGATAAGGAAATCTTATTGCAGTTCAAGGCCGCTCTAAGGTAACACCCCTTATATCAAAAGCAGAATGAATTGGGCCAGTTTCAATTAACGCGTCGCGCGCCGTTTTTATTCTGCTAATTAGCACAGTGACACAGGCATGCAAACTTCCAGGTTAATATTTCGCCATAAACTGACATTTGGAGAAGAATTATGAGGACATGTTCAACAACATCCAGGCTGAAGAAGTAGAGGTAATCGACTTAGATTTATAACTGTTGAATTGTTTTGTTTGAAGTCTTATTTATTACATATAAACACTACCAGCTTATCTGGAAACTGCCCGAGTATTTTTGTCCAACTGCAGGAACTTTAAAATTGAACAATACATTTTACTGCATGAAAGTCCAATTTCTAAAATTTAATCAGTTAATAATTTTAGGGGGGAAAATACTAATTAAAGTAGATCTATGTATACAGTATATAATTTGAGATTTATTCACATAAATCATTTACACTTTATTGATATTAATCATGAAGAGAATAATCCAGTATTATATATTAGATCATAATAATGGATAAATGGAGGAAATTCATTTTATTTCCTATAAATTAAAGTTTTTCAATACTCTGTTGGTTATATGCTGAAAAGCCCTGCAACAATCTAGTTTTATTTTCATATGAAAATAAATATTACATGAGTGATAGGATCGAGCCACAAGTGATTCAGTAAAATAGTTTTCATATATGATATCACAAGAAAATAAAATGTAAATAAATAGTAGATTATAGAAAAAACTGGAATTTTCTATTATACTAAATTTTCTTCTCTTTTTTGACCTTTATATAATTTTCTCTAATATGCTGTGTGTTTAAAATTAGTAAATTTTCAACATTGTTTTCCAGTCTTCTCTGCATATATCCTTAGTTACCAAGATAAGGTGTAATGTAATAATCAGCCCCCCCCCCCCCCAGCTGTCAATAAGAATTTAACAATCTCAACACTTTCTTAATACGCTGTGTATTCTAATTTAAGAGTCATGTAAATTTTCAACATATTCATTTGGCCATCTTATCTCCGCTGGTATCCATAGTTGCCAAGGCAAGTAGTAATCATCCCCCTCCCCTTGTCATCAAAAAGTTCATGTTCAAGTATTGTTTTTCTCGTTTATATGAATTTATAAATATTAAAATAAAAATTATAATTTATAAATACTGTAGTACATGCATTATTTATTTCATTATTTTATTTATGCATATAGACAACTTGAACAACTTGAAATTAACTATTTTTTCTACTTATAAATGAAATATTGATAAAATATAATGTGTATTTTTATTTTCTGAATTTTCACAGTAGAATTTAATTATTACTCTGTGCATTGCAGTGAAACATATTTTCATATTTTCACTGTTGTCTTGCATTCACACAATTAAAGTAGAAGTCTAAATTGAAAAAGAAATACATGTATATTATTAGTGCAGACCTCAGAAGAATTTGAGTTTAATGTCAACCAAAATTGTTAATTGCTTTTTCAGTATAATTATAATAATAAATAAAAAAGATTAATGTATTGAATAAACTCATTAATTAATATCTAACATGCATATCTTAATATGTTATTGTTCACTGATTGAAATGATATTGTCTAAGTTAATCATTTTGAAATTTTAATACCCAATTTTTTATTATGGCAAATAAACCATTCATCGCTTTTAAGTTTGAGTTAATACAGTGGCATTGTTAAAAACTTTGTTATGAAGTGATATAATACTGATATTAAATTATTTGCTTTGATTGGCTAAAGGCAGGTGGTGTCACATAGAAGTCCTTGTTCACATCTATTTAATTCTATATATCGCCTTCCAGGAAAGGCAATAATAATCATAATCACATCATCATTATTAAAACGATGATCACCTAAATCATCATCAGTCTATCACCACCAGAAACATCATCATCATCACAGCCACTATCATCAAAATGTCATCACCCTATTAATTATAATCATCACTTATATAATTATTCAGACTCAAAATAGGAAAAATCGTCATAATCATTTGTGGTCAGTAGTACTTACAATGGTATAGAGTTGGGTACTGCCAGAAAGAAAATACCACGATATACCACGTTTTTTCCCTAAAAAACACGTATAAACCAATTGGTATACCAAGGATTTTCATTGTACGCTATAGGTTTATTTTTTATCTCTAAAATAAGTATCAAGGTAGGATGGTATAGAATTTCAAATGTCAAAATTAAGCAGATCTATAAAATACAGATTAATCAAAGTATCATTTAACTTTTTTTCAATCGGGTACTTTCGACATCAAATAAGCTGCGCATGTTGACAATCATAAATTAATTGGGTCATGATCAGTTCTTGTTTTTAGCTCACCTGTCACAAAGTGACATGGTGAGCTTTTGTGATCGCTTTTTGTCCGGCGTCCGTCTGTAAACTTTTACTTTAAACGACATCTCCTCATAAACCGCTAAGCCAATTTCATCCAAACTTCACAGGAATGTTCCTTAAAAATTGTTCAAATAATTTAATTCCAAGCAGAACTCTGGTTGCCATGGAAAAAAACTTAAAATATATCTTCATTTAGAAAACCGAAAGAGCTAGAGCTTAAATATTTGGCATGAAACAGGATCTAGTCAGTGTCTACCAAGTTTGTTCAAATAAATGCCCTGGGGTGAAAATTGGCCCCGCCGGGGGGGGGGGCATTTATTTTCCTTATTTGTATTATATAGTAAAAAACTTAAAAATCTTCTTATAAAAAACAAAATTTTATTCAGCATGAAACATCTTCTATTCGATGTCTACCAAGTTTGTTCATATAAAAGCCCTGGGTTAAAAATTGGCCCAGCCTTAGTGGGTCATTGTTTTTCCCTTTATGTATATTTAGTAAAAACTTAAAAATCTTCTTTTAAAAACCCCAAAGAACTAGAGCTAAGATATGAAGCATGTAACATCTTCTAATGGGTGTCTACCAAGTTTGTTCAAACTTGAGTCAAAATGTTGAGCAAATGAGTGCCTCAGTCGTTGCCTCTCTCAACCGTTAAGTTTTAGAACGGCCGACTAAAGTCACTCGGGCTCATTGGCATGTTATTTATTAGGTAAATAAAATAAGATATTGATATAAAGAGTATCATACTCAAACATGGCACTATCACTTCAGTTAAATGTTTCTTTTTATTCCTTAAAGCTCATTGAAATGTTGTACATCAGAAAGCTATTTTTGTGTTCATATAGGGGTTACTTTTGTCGGCGGTGTCGGCGTCCCTTTAAACTTGTCCAGAGCATAAGTCAGTCATTATAAGTCGGATTGACTGCAAACTTGGTATGCATGCTTCTTATAATGATCCGAAGTGCAGTTCACAAGAACCGGTACTCTGCACTTCTTAATTTTTGAGTTATTGCCCTTTGTTAATTTTCATACTTTATCTTTGTCCGGGCCATTTCTCCTAATATATAAAAGCTATGGACTTGAAACTTCATAGGATGATAGATCTCATTTAGAAGAAGAACAGTGCACAAGAAGCTGTGCTCTGCACTTCTTATTTTTTGAGTTATTGCCCTTTGTTAATTTTCATACTTTATTTTTGTCCGGGCCATTTCTCCTAATGTATAAAAGCTATGGACTTCAAACTTCATAGGATGATAGATCTCATTAAGAAAAAGCGCAGTGCACAAGAGCCGGTACTCTGCATTTCTTATTTTTTGAGTTATTGCCCTTTGTTAATTTTCATACTTTATTTTTGTCCAGGCCATTTCTCATAAATTATAAAAGCTATAGACTTGAATCTTCATAGGATGACATATCTTATTGATAAGAAGTGCAGTGCACAGAAACTGCTGCTCTACATTTCTTATTTTTTTAGTTATTGCCCTTTGTTAATTTTCATATTTCATTTTTGTCCTGGCCATTTCTCCTATTAAACTATTTTGTTCACAAGGTGATACATCCGACTTGCGGAGTTCTAGTTATTAGAAAATTTGAAAACAGTGTGATGTTGTTAAAACAAAAAAAAATACACAGAAACAAGTCTAAAATTTTTCCCATTGTTGAATAGGCGAATGCATATCTACCCTGTGTGCACGCGGCGTCTACCTAGACTGATTCACAGTTGCCGATTTACCAAAGTAAATGTTTTTCAATTTATTTGAAATAGTGTAATCCTGTTGGACAAAAAAATGATTTCAAACACTAAAAGTAAAAGTAAAGTCGCCAATTCCTGCTTCTTCCACTGAGATCATGCAATCGACAATTCTGGCTTACATGTGGTTATTAGTCCCCTACCGGTTTACCGGAGGGGACTTTAGGTTTACCCTCCGTCCGTCCGTCTGTCCGTCCGTCCGTCCACAAAACTGGATCCCGCGATAACTTGAAAAGTACTGAAAATATTTTTATGAAACTTGGTATATGGATAGATGGCAGTATGGAGATTATGCACGTCTTTTTCTTTTCTTCCTATGTTGAAAATTCTGGTTGCTATGGCAACAAATAGGCTGAAAATATGGCAAATTTTACACATAAACTGGATCCAGTGATAACGCAAAAAGTACTGGAAATATTTTTATGAAACTTGACATATGGGTAGATGGCAGTCTTGAGATTATGCACGTTTTTTTCTTTTCTTCCTATGTTGAAAATTCTGGTTGCTATGGCAACAAATAGGCTGAAATATGGCAAATTTTACACATAAACTGGATCCAGTGATAGCGCAAAAAGTACTGGAAATATTTTTATGAAACTTGACATATGGGTAGATGGCAGTCTTGAGATTATGCACATCTTTTTCTTTTCTTCCTATGTTGAAAATTCTGGTTGCTATGGCAACAAATAGGCTGAAATATGGCAAATTTTACACATAAACTGGATCCAGTGATAGTGCAAAAAGTACTGGAAATATTTTTATGAAACTTGACATATGGGTAGATGGCAGTCTGGAGATTATGCACGTTTTTTTCTTTTCTTCTTATGTTGAAAATTCTGGTTGCTATGGCAACACATAGACTGAAAATATGGCGAATTTTTACACATAAACTGAATCCAGTGATAACTCAAAAAGTACTGGAAATATTTTTATGAAACTTGATATATGGGTAAATAGCAGTCTTGAGATTATGCATGTCTTATCTGTTCTTCCTATTTTGAAAAAATATCAGTTGCCTTGTCAACAAATATAACAATATTTGTGATTAGTCAAAAAGAGCTGAAAATTTTTTATGAAATTGCATCTTTAATTCTCCTCTTTAAGAATTTTTTGCTTTTAAAATGTTATATTTTGGTAACAGGGATGTTTCAAATATTAACTTTAGAGTGTCCTTCAGTCCGTCTGTCTGTCTGTTCATAAAAACTGTTTCCTGTGATCACTTTTAAAGAACTTTTCCAACAAATTTACTTAAAATAGAGAAAAATTGAAACATTAGTGAATGGCCAAAATTGGCCCCTCAGAATGTTGATGGGGTTCTAACCGGTAGGGGACTTATGGATTGCTTGCAATACTATGATAATTGCTTGTTGATAAAGCATTCAATTTTTGCTGAGAACTATTGTGGAATGATAAAAGTCAGCGAAAGTTGTTTGCAAAAGGTTAATTCAAAGAAATATTGATATAGACAACAGAAAAGATTTCATTTTGTACATTTTACGGATCTGTAATTGCTTTAAATTAGAACTAAAAGTAATGGTTTTCAGGTCTGTACCGTGGTACATACTGCAGATGTCTCAGACAGTGGTTTACCAGTATACATGTACTAGTTGAACCGCGCACGTCTACTGAATAGAAAATTCACTATCGCCTCTATTACCATCAAGATCTAAATTATCAACTCTTTCATCATTATAATAGGAGTACTAACAATAATCATTGCTTTCATAAATCATCATTTTCATCATCATTATCATCACTTCCATCATCAAAATTATAATTTAAAATCCTCATCATTATCAAAATCATATTCATAATTCAAATCATTTTATATATCTATATTATGTTTATGTGCTTGACAGATATATAGATATATATAAACTTTCAAAAAGAATTGTATAAAAAAACTTTTAAGGAAGATCATAATTAATCATATACCTTTATTTATCACATACACCGCGGCACAGGAGTGTAATAAAGCCGTTTAATAAAAACGATATTACACTAGACAATATTACACTAGTGTAATAACACTTTGACGTCACATCATTTGCGCTATAAACATAGCGTTAAAGCGCGCTAATTATAGCGTTACACTATAGGCGCGTCAAAGAAAAATGACTCTTTTTAACAATTTACCGTTCCTATTTTATATATGTGATAAATAGAATATTATATTCGTGTAGATTCAATACTAAATTTATTGAACTCGTTGAATAAAACAATATTATGCTCGCCAGAGGCTCTCATAATATGATTTTATTCAACTCATTCAATAAATTTAGTATTAAACCTACACTCATTCAATATCCTCTATGTTGCATTATTTGTATATTATTACAAAAAAATTATAGTTTTAATACTAGAAATTAAAATGCTAAGTTTATAATTTTACTTTTGAATAGACATGAAATTTACAAAATTACTTTTAAATTCACATGTTAAAAAAAAGAAAGCGTTTAAAATTTTAAAAGGAAATTTTTGAAGTGTACATGTACATGTACTGTTATTTGTTATCTCATTATTAAATAAGAATGTTTTTTATTTGTATTTTGTAGGACCTTTTATTGATTTGGAGACCAAGGCAGAGCAGGAGCGCAGCACTAAAAGAGCCTGGGGAAAGGCCTGCCTTATTTCATGGTGGAAGCTTACATGAAACAGGAAGACATGACAGTGTTACATGAATGATTATATAATGACAACACCAATTAAAAGATACAGAAAGTTAATGTGTTTCATGTGCTCAACTAACTACTCAAGTCATCATCTATACTGTAATGAAGTTTCAGAATTTAGCCTTTCTAAAGAACATTTAGGATCTTAAGTGGATGGACTTGTAAACCCATTTCCAGTAATATTTTGATATTGATAGTATTCATTATATATAGCTGTGTATGTGTTCTAGAAACATATTATTTCTACCAGACAATGAAAGTGAGCCATGTCTGTGTGAAAATCTAAGCTAACTGAAATGTGAGAGCAACTCAATAATTTACTAGTTCATGAAACATGCCATGAAAAGAAAACAAATCTAGAAAGAGAGTCAGATATCAAAAATAGCAATGAAAGAATAGAAATATCTAAAACTTGCAGAATCCACTTGATTTAGTCTGTTTGTGAGAGAAAATGTTAAAGTGCAATATCAACTAAATATGCTGGAATTATCCCAAACGGCAGTTATGAAGCCTTGCTGGGATTCATATTACAGATAAAGTTTGCTGGACAGAAATCATGTCTAAATAATGAAGATACAGAAGTGGCTTTGATATATGAGAAAAATATACTTGAAAAATGGAAAAGCTTTATTTAAGAAATAATATTATATATGCAAATACCAACTTGTGAATTTGGTTTTCATAAAATAATGAGGTTTTATTTATATTTATGCATACAAGGAATGTATACCACATTATCAGTATTATCACACGCTCAATAATTTTTATGCCCCCGGGCATATAGTAATTGAACTGTCCGTCTCTGTCTGTATGTATAAGGATAACCTAAAACAGCAAGTTTTTTTTCTTGAGTTCTACCCGCACCAATGGCTTCATAATTCACACATTCACTAATCAGTTCAAAGAATACAATCTCCAGGGGCAAGTTACATAACTATGGCTTCCATTTTTACCAAGTTATTGCCCTTTTGAGCACTTTGAAAATGAAAAGATTAACCAAAACCGTCAAATTGGATATATCTTAAGTTCTGTCTATACTAATTGCTTCATAATTTTCACATGTACTTCTCGGTACAAAGTGCATTGATATTGCTAAGTAATATTACTGTGCCATCCATTTTTCACAGTTATTTCCCTTTTTATCACTTTGAAAATAGGGCATTGTATGGTTAACCTTTTCAGGCAAGTTGGATATATCTTAAATTTCTCCTTAATACTTCTTTTATTTACATTGTGATACATTGAGGGACTTTGAAATAACCTGGCACAAATGTGTACTACATCAAGAGGATGTGTCGCATTTATGAACCACGCCCCTTTTCAAAGGTCAAGTTCACACTTTTATTTTGAAGGTTCACACTATTACAACTAGAGATAGGTACACACATTCGTGTCCGGAATATACTTTGTAACTTTGTCATGCATCGAAGGATTTTAAAGTAACTTAGCACAAATGTCAACCACATCTAGATGATATGTGTTGTGTGTAAGACCCATGTTCCTACCTCCAAGGTGAAGGTCACTCTAATAGTTTGAAGGTACTTAAGGTCATAAGAAGAGTTTGAAGGTACGCATTAGTTTTCAAACTGTAAAGTTGTCATGCATTAGAGGATTTGCATAAATGTCTATCACATCAAGGTGATGTGTGCATCCAAGACCCTTGTCCCAAGGTGTTAAGTTTGCTATAAAAAGTACTTCATTTCACAAGAACAATGTTAAGCAATTAGTTATTTTCATGGGGGCGTCCGTGGCCGAGTGGTTAAGGTCGTTGACTTCAAACCACTTGCCCCTCACCGCTGTGGGTTCGAATCCCGACAGGGACATTGGATTCTTTCATGTGAGGAAGCTAATCCAGCTAGCTTACGGAAGGTCGGTGGTTCAGTGCATTATTTCAGGCACAAACGGGCTCCTCCACCAGTAAAGCTGAAACGTAATCATATTACCTATACTGTGTCAGTGTGACGTAAAACCCAATCAAACAAACACAGTTATTTTCATTCTGTTTTCTTTTCATAATACCTGCATGCTTAAGAACCCTTTTTTGGGGGATATGTCACTTGCGTGACAGCTCTTGTTTATACAGCATTACAGTATATTTTTTCCAATGTCTCATATTTATGAGGAACATAGTTTCATTATGTGGTTCTTTGAATGGAGTTTGGGGTCACTGGGTTTAAGGTAAAGTCCTGCATTTATATATATTTGATAAAGTTGATATTTCTGAACTTCATCACAATTTATATTAATGACTTACCAACTTATATTCTTCACAAGTACAATACGCCATGACTCCATGTCAAGTTATGTTACTTTACAATTTTTTTGGCAAATTTTCTGTGAATAACTGAGTGAATGGGTAAACATTTTTTGAAATGCTGTTATACTGATAAATAACCTAGCTGGGTGAGGGCATAAAATTTGTGTTTTCAAACATGTTCTTATTTGTCATTGTTTTTAATCAAATCTGAACTGTTATTGTCAAAGGGTTGTTTGTTAATATAAATGTATGAATGAAATCAAAGCGGCTTAATTATTTACTCTTTGAGTTTCTTTTTGTTCAGACGTATGAACAAATTTGCTTCAAATAACAAACATAATAGCTTAAGTGATACAGTGTTCATACATGTGAACAAAAACCTGCCAATTTAAAGAAAGATATTTTTGTTCATACATATGAACAAAATCGGCTGATTTTTGTGCTATTTTTTGCTCTGTGAGTTTGTTTTGTTCAGACGTATGAACAAATTTGTTTCTAAATAACCACAAAATTACTGAAATAATGCAGCACTTGGTCATACGTATGAACCAAAACCTGCCATTTAGTGTAAAAAGTTTGGTTTTTGTGTTCATACATATGAACAAAATTGAAGTGCTAGTTTATGTGCTATTTTCGCTCTGTTAGTTAAATTTGTTCATACATATGAACAAAATCGAAGCTGTTCATTCATATGCTATTTTTCACTCTGTGAGTTTATTTTGTTCATACGTATGAACAAAATCGAAGAGGCTTATTTATGTGCTATTTTGACTCTGTGAATTTGTTTTGTTCATACGTATGAACAAAATTGAAGCTGTTGCTAATTTATGTGTTATTTTTTACTATGATAATAAACACTGCATAATTTTGTGGTTACTTTGAAAACATATTTTTGTTCATACGTCTGAACGAAACAATTGTTAAGACGTATGAACAAAAACATGTTTTCAAATAACCACAAAATTATTAAATTATGCAGTGTTTATTATTATATATGACTGTATGAAAAAACCCTCACAAGTTTAAAAAGAAATTTTGTTCATACGTATGAACAAAATCGAAACTGCTAATTTTTTGTCATTTATTTTTGCTCTGTGAGTTTGTTTTGTTCAGACGTATGAACAAAATTTGTTTCAAAATAACCATAAAATTATGAAGTTATGCAGTGTTCATTATCATATATATGTAAGAAAAAACACTCGCAAGTTGAAAAAGAAATTTTGTTCATACGTATGAACAAAATCGAAGCAGCTTATTTTTTGTTCTTTATTTTCACTGTGCGAGTTGGTTTTGTTCAGACGTATGAACAAAATTTGTTTCAAAATAACCACAAAATTACTGAAATAATGCAGTGTTCATACGTATGAACAAAATTGAAATGCTAATTACTTTAATGTGCTATTTTCGCTGTGTGAGTTAATTTTGTTCAGACGTATGAACAAAATTTGTTTCAAAATAATCACAAAATTATGCCAGTGTTCATACGTATGAACAAAAACCTGCCAATTTAAAAAGAAAAATAGTTTTGTTCATACGTATGAACAAAATCGAAGTGGCTATTTTTTGCTCTGTGTCAGTTTTTGTTCAGACGTATGAACAAATTTGTTTCAAAATAACCACAAAATTATGCCAGTGTTCATACGTATGAACAAAAACCTGCCAATTTAAAAAGAAAAATAGTTTTGTTCATACGTATGAACAAAATCGAAGTGGGTATTTTTGCTCTGTGTCAGTTTTTGTTCAGACGTATGAACAAATTTGTTTCAAAATAACCACAAAATTATGCCAGTGTTCATACGTATGAACAAAAACCTGCCAATTTAAAAAGAAAAATAGTTTTGTTCATACGTATGAACAAAATTGAAGTGGGTATTTTTGCTCTGTGTCAGTTTTTGTTCAGACGTATGAACAAATTTGTTTCAAAATAACCACAAAATTATGCCAGTGTTCATACGTATGAACAAAAACCTGCCAATTTAAAAAGAAAAATAGTTTTGTTCATACGTATGAACAAAATCGAAGTGGGTATTTTTGCTCTGTGTCAGTTTTTGTTCAGACGTATGAACAAATTTGTTTCAAAATAACCACAAAATTATGCCAGTGTTCATACGTATGAACAAAAACCTGCCAATTTAAAAAGAAAAATAGTTTTGTTCATACATATGAACAAAATCGAAGTGGGTATTTTTGCTCTGTGTCCGTTTTTGTTCAGACGTATGAACAAATTTGTTTCAAAATAACTACAAAATTATGCCAGTGTTCATACGTATGAACAAAAACCTGCCAATTTAAAAAGAAAAATAGTTTTGTTCATACGTATGAACAAAATCGAAGTGGGTATTTTTGCTGTGTCAGTTTTTGTTCAGACGTATGAACAAATTTGTTTCAAAATAACCACAAAAGATTTGATGCAGTGTTCATACGTATGAACAAAAACCTTACAAGTTGAAAACAAAATTGTTCATACGTATGAACAACATTGAAGTGTCTGTCTAATTTATGTGCTATTTTTCAGTATGTGAGGTAATTTTGTTCAGACGTATGAACAAAATTTTGTTAAAAAATACTCAATATTGCTGAACTTATTCAGTGTTCATACGTATGAACAAAATCTTGACAAGTTGAGAAAAAAATTTGTTCATACGTATGAACAAGTTTGAAACTGCTAATATATTTGTTATTTTTTACACTATTCTTATTTTTTGTTCAGACGTATGAACAAAAATTGTTGAAAAATAAAAATATATTGCTAAAATTTTTCTGTTTTTGTCCTATTTTGCCCAAAAAGCAGTATTTTTTAGTGTATTTTTTCAAAGAAATAACTCTAAAACGGGCCAAAAAGAGGGACACTCGGAAAATCCTCTTTTATTCTGGAAGCAGATGTTATTTTAGTCAAACACATGATCAGATGATTCATAATCGCCACTAATAATTTGTTCCAATAAGTAACATAACATATGAGCCGCGTCTCGACAAACCAACATAGTGCGTTTGCGACCAGCATAGATCCAGACCAGCCTGCGCATCCGCGCAGTCTGATCAGGATCCATGCTGTACGCTTTCCAAGCCTATAACAAGTAGAGAAACTGATAGCGAACAGCATGGATCCTGATCAGACTGCGTAGATGCGCAGGCCGGTCATGATCCATGCTGGTCGCAAACGCACTATGTTGGTTTTGTCGTGGCACGGCTCATATGTCGTATTCGAGAACTAATTTAAACAGTTGAAGATATAACCAACTCTTGTCTTAAAAGCACATCAAGTAGTACAAATTATCATACCTGATGCATTTTATTTGATGTGTTTAGCATGCACATTTGTTTTCCATTGATAAATAAGCTTAGATGGCGAATGTGTTCTGATTCTTTTGATCATTTGAATAATAAGTAGTAATAAGAGATAATTTCTTATTGATTACTTACCATGATTGTCCTTTTCATCTTTCTTATCATGCTACACATTCTGAAATGCATGTTGTTATCGAAATGTCCTTTATATGAGTAAGAATAGGTGCAATATGGTTAGGTGTCATTACCGTTGGAATAACTTAAGGCAACAATTTCGATTTCATAAAACCAAATCTGGTGTATGTTACTTATTGTAATCTGCAATTATCTAAGAATTGCTATTAATACGGCCATCTAAACTATATAACAAAAATCGTTAAAGCGACCAGATTTCGTTTCATTATATTTGAGATTCAAACATGCCACAAATAGTATAAAGAGAAGTAAACAAAAGAACATGGACAGAAGATTAATGTTTTATATAATGCAATACATTTACATTTACATTTCTTACCGTTTGACATTGAACGGCGGATAAACAACATAGACAAATCCATATGCAAATTAGGCAGGCTGCAGACATTTTATATGTATCCGATAAGAGGTGGGTGTCGGAAAGTAATCTATCATGATAGCAAAACTGTTGTAATTGTAAACAGAGAACACACGTGGGTAGAAAATCAAATGCATAAATAATTACAATGGTCATGATAAGCTATTTTTTGATTTCTCGTTTTCTTAATGATGCGAGAACTGTTGTGTGTAATTGTTCTCTTCTTGACAGATATCGGGAACTATATAGAATCTGTGGAAATAGCTGCTTTAATTTTTATAGAAACTAATGTCCTTGAAATGGACAGAAACTACAGAGGCTATATAATTGAAAGAGAAGCTTCGAATTTGAATTTTTTTGACATTCACCATTCCTCTTGTAATTATATATTTGAATTTCAACTACTATATGAAGTATGACACTCGCATCTTCGATTTTGCAGAGTATTATTCAGGCCCTTTTCTAACTGTGTGACATTTTAAATAGAAGTTATTATTTAACATCTAACTGTTTTACAGTAAGCACGAAAGATGTAATTTTATACCGATACATGACTGCATGACATCTAATTAATTAATTGTATATGTACGACATATTCAAGTCAATCGTCAACAAGTAGAACAAATAAGAACATATCTAATGCCTATCGGAGTGCCACTGATAATATGCGTTGTTCAACAAGCTTCAATTTCACACTTATTCTCAACGGGATATTTATCTGATTTGATCAGCCGTATCGTATAATCAATCTACTTTTGATAGTTCTAAATCGTTCTTTTATTGTTGAGCCGGACTATTTTCAAAGTTGCTGTGCATGCTTTTTGTATGGAAAATGAATTCTATAGAGCATATCTTCGTTTCCCATGCTGTGATCGATTTCTGGTACAATTATGATCCCTTTATTCTTAATTGAATATATCGTTACATGATGCTTGAATAAGAATTTTCAGTGATTCAATATGAAAAAGTAGAGCGATGTGTCTATGAGGAAGTAAAATATTCTTAGTAGCATCAAATTGTGTAAAGTGATAACTACTAGCATCCTTCATTTCCTTCAATAGAAGATGCAATTTGCATATAGTTACTTAAATATCACTATATTTGTAAACTGATACCGATTGATTACACTCACATGCAAAACAAAAGCAAATTAAAATTTAAAGGAAATATTAGAAGGACGTCAATATGTAAAATGTTACTGTAATGTATTGTTCACCATATAACTTCGAATATAAATTTAACAACGAGATCAGAAGAGAGTATTCGGTCACTTCAATCGTCTGGTGCCTCTAACGGTTTTCGTTATTTTTTTATTTCGTCCTTTCTCGCGATGCACGATAGAACGATGGTGAAAACGCAATTGTACGATGTCACGATGATGAAAACACGATGTAATATCGCGTTTTTCCATCAAACCATCGCGTTTTCACCATCGCGCCATCGTCTTTGCACCATCGTACCATCGCGCTTTCACCATCGTGCCATCGCGTTTTCACCATTGTACCATCGCGTTTTCACCAAATGCAATAAGTTTGGGATTTGGTGAATTGATAATGTTTCTTATTTTTTATCATAACGTAGAAAACAACAAGTGCTTTGTTCACATTTAACATAAAATGTAGACCTGAAACGAATAGATTTGCTTATATGAGAATCATAAAACCATTGATGAGAACGATAGAGTGTGGCTATTTTCCAAAAAGGTTAATATGTTTAGTATATCGAATACACACTTGCTTTTGCACTGGTCATTTACAATAGCCGTTTATTAAAAAACTGAGTCCCATTGATGAAAAATATTTAATGATGCAGATCTATCTTTCTCTTACAAAACCTACAAAGGGTAATTTACAGTATCAAACACTGAACTGAAAATGTTTCATTCCAAAATTAAGTGCATATGTGAAGAAGCATGAACGTCAAACGAATCAATGAAATATAAATGATGAGTCATTATATCCCATATCTTTTAAATAAACTTTAAATTCCATGAAATTGACCGAGTATATAGCATTATAACAAGAAAACAGTTTACAAACATACAACGAACATTTCTGTGAAGTTGAATCACAGGGGAGCAACATTTGTGAATCAACTGTGTTATATATGTAATTCGCGATATTGCAGGGAAATATTTGATGCAGGCTACACATCGCTATATAGCAGTTCTATCATTGCACAAAACAAAATCAATACATTTTGTTATGTCACTGGACAACGTAGTTGCATTGTATAAGAAAATCAAGACAAATATTGGTACAAAGATCCGAGTACCTATATATGTTGAAACAAAGCTTGAATGTGTCTACATTATAACATATGTATGACTGTAACTATAAAAGTGTGGGTGTAATATTAAAAAAAACTTTCTTGCATATACATTTGTAAAGTGAGAACAAGATTTCTCCTTTCCAAAGGCATTTGCATCTGAATGTTGGTCTTTATTTTAATCAATAGACGGACTGCATTCATACAAGAACCATATCGGAAATTACTTCTTTCTAGACATGTTTTCCAAAATAGTGTTCAATGATATCAAACCTTTAAATTTACTTTTACTAGATAGAGGGCGCCCACAATGATAAATGTTTATATTATTTCAACACATTTTATAACGAGAAAATTTGCAATAATGTTCTTTATTTGATACATTTTATAGGGTATGTAAACGTTTTAACGATATAGTCAAGATACGTTTGATTATGTGGAAGGAAAATAAAAATGAAAAAAAAAATCTAGAAAACAGCATTGCTTCAAGGGACGCAGACTATATATTATATAAATATCTGGAAAAAGTCTTAATGAATATTTGTCCTTTTGCAATTCAAGCTAATCATAAAGTAATGTTTCAATATCATGAAATCAGTTTATTTTGGAAAAAAGATCACAATTAATATACTAATAATTGCAAAAATGTTGTACATTAACCACAAAATTAAGTTAATTTTCTACATTTTTCATTGATCATCCTCGGTAAAATAAAATAGTAAAAATGATGATGATACCTCGCGAAAAAAAATATTTTTTAATGCAGATGTTACTTGTCTTTGCATATCATTGAGTGATTTATTGCCATTGGTCATTGATCAGTGGTTTGTGACAATGTTTTCATGCAGCAATTATTTGAGCCACGTCACGACAAAACCAACATAGTGCGTTTGCGACCAGCATGGATTCAGACCAGCCTGCGCATCCGCGCATTCTGATTAGGATCCATGCTGTTCGCTATCAGTTTCTCTACTTGTAATAGGGTTGGTAAGCGAACAGCATGGATCCTGATCAGACTGCGCGGATGCGCAGGCTGGTCTGGATCCATGCTGGTCGCAAACGCACTATGTTGGTTGTGTCGTGACGTGGCTCATTTGTCCTTAAAATCTAATAGAATATGTCTGTCATTCGTTTCAATGTGGACTTACGTAAGTGATTAGTTTAAGGAAACAAAGATCAGTAGTAAATATTTAAACAGCTTACATAACTTACTTATGTTTCAACAACCTCACTACATTGATGAAAACTAATGCTGCGTTAATTTTTCTCCTAAGTGACTTAATCGAGTTCTAAATCAAATACGCCTCAATGAGCTTCTGACAATTTTGTAACAAACTTCATTATGAACAATTATTACTCATACAAAATAGATGTCTAGATTAATTGTCAAAGCCTAAGTATTGTTTAGTATTGTTATCATACACAATAGACACTTTAGTCATAACGAAATAGAAAACATTTTCAAAGTCATTCATTAATGTGAAGTAATCAATGCTAGAGCTTATCTATTTTTCATAAATAAAGTGCTATGTTTGCTTTGTAACAATGCGAATAGTTTTGTTTGGTTGCTATGTAAAAGCTTCTCTATTCGTTTTTAGCATTGTTAATGTATAAAAAGATACTGTTTATCTGATTTCT